TCTGGGACTTGGAGATCTGAGGTTTGAAAGTGTACCTGATTAGAAAATCTGCCTCTTTCCATGTGGGCTGATTTGCTCCCCTGAGGAGCTTACTGTTTTCACAAACACTGGACCAATTAGTTTTTGTTAGATCGGCCCTCGATATGCAGACGTTGAAACAAATTGATAGCAAAACTGTCATTTTCCGCTCATTCTTTGGTTTCATGTTAAAAAAGATTATGTAAATGTTTGTTCATATATTTATATGGTTTTGATTGTTTCATTTCTTAATTTCTCATATTTAAATATCACTGTATGAAATTTATTTCAATATCTAGCAGAAGCAGAGATTTAAGTCCTTTTTTTGGCTTCCAAAATGTTTTCTGATCCTGGCAACATTTGTGGATGGATCTATCCTTTCCACAGTGATTAGAAATGTAGACTTTTATCCCAGATTGATTTCTGATGATTGAAGTGAACATTCTCCTGTGTATTTGACTGGATTTGCAGTTCAGTCCTTTGCGGCCAAGCAAGGAAGTGATTTTGAGATGGATGGCCATTTGTCTTTCAGCCTTAGGAGAGGGAGAGCCCAACTTGGCAAGGCTCTGCAGAAGCCACAGTTCAGAATTGCTGTTCTGTTTTCACTGGAATTGTGTACTGTGGCAGGTAATAAAGAGGAAGGAATTCACAGTGATAGAGACTAAACAAATAATGGGCTGCACAGCGCTAGAGAGAGGGAGAGGAAATTACTTGTTAGGGAGCACCTCTGCTCGTGCATGTCACTTGCACTTAGCAGAGTATAACATTTATGTCATACACAAAATCACCCCAACATTACTTACTGGCTCTACTGCCTGAGGAAAGTCACAGAAAGCCCATGTGACAGCAGAAGTGAATTCATGTTCAAGATGAAGCCTACTAGAAGAGCATTTTGGGGGATAGTAGTTTGGTTCATGCCCTTTTCCATCATTGGCACAAGTGTTCTGACACTCTGACAGCCCTTCTTTCTGAGATGGCATTTTGAAAAGACTCCCACCATCAGAGCATTGTTTAATCTGTGCTTGTGAGTGTTATTTGTCATTCTGGAGATACAGGGGCCCCTCCAAGAGGAAATGTACAGTGTGGGGTGCAGAGAGGGAAGAGAACGGTCATACCAGGATGATAGTGTGAAGGGCATCAGCACTGGTCATCCAGCTCCCCAAGGTGAGCTACTTGAATGGCTACTGCTTACGGCTCTTCTCACCAGACGAGCCTTTGTATGACTGTGGGTCATCCTAGGAAGGAGGATCCAAGGATTCTTTGATGGAGTGTAACATTTTCAGCCAAGTCTGAGACAGTGTTGGAGACTCCCTCATCCTGGACCTAAGAAGCCTGAAATCCAACTTGCTTAGATTCTTCTCAATGACACAACCCTGGCCGAGTGAGAAACCAAGGCTAGTTTCTCACATGCCCATAGTGATCCTGTTTGACACTTGAGAAGATTCTTTTATCTAGTTTGCTGCTCTAGGGCTTAGAGGCCTTTTAAAAATTCCTTTTTATTTCCCAAGGTCAAAGTATGCAGGAGCTTAGTAAATCCCGTAACTCCTAAAAATGTGCCCAGCATAAATGACTGGTTCTCGTGACAGTCACTGCTACCTTATTTCTATCTTTCTGTTCCCTATTGTTGAAGGGAAAGACTAATTATAGTGATCAATAACACCTGTTAAATGCTCCTGTGTGCTGGACATTGTTCTAAGCACCTTATTTGCATAGTTTCTTATTAAATCCTTTTAGCCCTTCTATGAGATAGAAACTTTTAAGATGCCATTTTTTAGATAAGGGAGTTGGTGCTCAGAGAGAATCACTAAATTTGCCCAAGGTCACTCAGCTTTGGAGCTGGGATTTGAGCTTGGGACCTGACAGTAGAGAGTGTACTTCAAATAGTCACAACCCTGAACCACCCCTCTGCACTCAGTGAAGTACATGCATAGGCTGGGGTTTTAGTCTATTCTTTTGTCCATCCTACAGTGAATGTGGCATTATCCCATTTTGCAGTTTGCAAAAGCAGAAGCCAGGTTGAGGTCACTGTGAGATAAGCAGCTGAACTGTGTGCGTGTTTTAAAAACTCAGATCTGCCCAGCCCAGAGCCTCTTGATAGCAACTTTGCATGGATGCTCTTCCTGTCATTGGAAAGATGCTGCGAGAATCCCTGTAGGATCCTCCTGTTATCCCCACGTCAGTGCTTCATTCCTGTCCAGCTCTTGGACCTGCCCAGGACAATTTTGGACCCCTTAGAACTTTTGGAAGCTATTGTGAATCTAGCAGGGAATGGTCACAGTTTGCATTTTCTGCTCTGAGTTACTGAACGTCCGCCATGGGTGATGTGACAATGAAAGCAAGGCTAGTTGGGGCTGAAGCATTGCTAGGCACATGAAAAGTGCTCGAACTGTGATAGCCTGTTTTTGCTGTTAATTTTAGAAGTCTAGAATAGAAGTTGAATAGGAATATCCTCTTTCTGCACTCATTTTCACAATCAAATCCGTACACCTTGATTAAGCACTCATTGTGGAGGAGCTCTGGGGAATACCAAGATGCGTAACATGCTGCATTCAGAGGTGACTGATCATTGCATACCTTGTGATGTGCTACAAGGCTAGGCCAATCAAGGAGGGTTTCTCAGAAGTGCATTTTCACCTGGGCCTGGAGTGATTAATTGGGTTTTATCAAATTGGAAGTAGGGTTGAACAAGAGGAAAGATGGGTTCTGGCCAAGAAATTGATGGAATAACATCTTTTGGGCAGAGGCTATGTGGGTAGGGGCAAAATGGTGCAGTCAGTATTAGTCTGAGGCCCCTGAACAGATTGTTTTCCCTGCATGGAATGACAAAAGCAAATGTCACAGCACAGGATCGTGCATTTGGTGACGAGTGGTTCCCTGTAGGAGAGACATGACAGAGTCTAGGGACTGTGGGCCTGCCAAGTGTCCTGTGGAGTGCAGGGCAGCCCTCACTGAGCTCACTGGTGGCAGAGGTGTCTGCATGGTGACGCCTGTCTGTAGAAGTCTCATTTCACCTTAGGTTCAGTGCAACCAGTTTGTTAGTATAAACCGGACAGATGTGTGTGTGATATGCCATCGTGGAGCAGAGACAGATGGCTGACAGGAATGCAGGGCAATAAGGTAGCTTCTCTGATTAGGACAAGATCTCACTTCCCCCAGCCTCCTGTTATGACTGTGAATGTCCTCTACCTTTATTCCTGGGTGTGGTTTAGGCCAGCCAAGAATTTCAAGGCAGACAGATACCTCGGTAGAACATTCAGAGTTCAAACATGCCTTGGAAAGGAGCAAGTCCCTGAATCTGGGTCCACAAAACTTCCCTGCCATCTGTCCTGGATTGCTGGTGATAAGCACCGAAGAAGTTTTATTCTACCTGTCTTCAATAATATATTGAGTCTATTTTTTTCATGGCCATGGTATGAGAATAAATTGTTTCCTTTTTTTCCCCACAGATTTGTCAATATTTTTAGTTAAAATTCCCACTCATAATAGAATTATGATGAATTCTTCTAAATTGTTAATGCTTCCTAATACAGCCTGTAAGAGTCAGTACCTTTACATAGTACCATGCCATTTAATCTCTCCTCTGATACTCACAGCACCCCAAGGTGAGTTGATGGGTGCTGTTCCCTGCTTCTGCCTGAGAGAAGAGCTCAGAGAGGCTGAGAGCTACGACCCTAATTACCTGCCTGAGTTTAGAATGAAAAGCCTTATGGACTCTGTTTCACACACGTGTATATGGATGTGCATTATTGCTCTCTATTAAGAATCCTCCTTTGAGGGTGCTTCTTCCATATGTAAGGAAGGAGTTGGGGTTCTTCCTTGGGAAGGTGCTTGAACCCAGTAAGTGCTCAGTAAGATGTCTGAATGAATACATGCATGAGCTCTGGGCCATCATAACTTCTACTCAGAGTATGGCCCATGCAGGCTTTCTTAATGCTCCTTTTCTTCTCAGCCCTGCCTCCCACATCTCTTTGTAATCTTTATTAATATCTTCTCTAGAAATGTGTTTGTTTTTGTTGTGTTATAAAGAATTTCAAAATTGAGAGTATTTTTTGTGGCTCTAGTCTTATGACATGATACTATGAACCGAGTCCCCCAGTTGTCTCTGTTATGGCCTCATTGCTTGGACCTGTGTGCTCCAGGGGCTTTCACAGTCCTTGGTTCTGGGCATAACTTGTTCCCCTGGACATAGCCATGGCCTCCTGCTGTATGTGTAATTTTGACCCTGAGCTTCCTAGCAGCTAGTCTTAAGAGGAAAATATAGTTTACAGTGTCTCTTAAATGGACAAAATGACACTAGTTCCTCAGGAGAAATCTAGAAATTTCTAATCTTAAAATTTGACTAAATGATGTGGTAATGACTCTGACATGTGCACAGTGACAGTTAAGTTCGATGTAGATAGGATACTTGGATATATATTTAATTGAAAGGTATGTTTTTCCATCCATGAGTGCTTTCTTGTGTTGAAGATGCCAGAAGGGTATGAGTATCTCCTCTGAGTAATTATGGACTGTGTATTGAAGATACTTCCCTAATAGTGTTACCTGTATGCTAACTATAGAAGGAGGTGTAGGAAAACCAGATCTTTGGTTAAACTTGAATGACGATTTCTATGTCTGTATGGAGCCAAATGTCAGTTGGTCTGTTGTCTAGGCTGATTAACAGCTATAATGGAATAAATCATTGCTCAAAATATATGTTGTCCAGGAGCAAGGCTTTGGGAAAACATTTAGAAACTGTAAGCTGGGTATGTTCACCAAGGAAACACTTCTGCATTTATTCTCATCCCATCCTGCCCTTCTGTTTTGTGTGGCTGGTGAAAGTGATCAGTTAGCATATTGGATCTATTAGACTCTATAGGAATTAGTTTGGAAAGGGAACAGGGAGCTCATTTAGACAGGCTCTCCTTAATAACTTACAATCCAGAGAGGTGGGTAACAGCCAAGGTCAGCTGATTGATTTTGACTTTTCTTTCTTTCCTTAGATGAACTGAGACAAGCCATCGTGGCCATGATGAACAGGAAAGATGAGTTGGAAGAAGAGAACAGGTACTGGGATCTTCGCTATTGAGGGATGGCCTTTCACCTCTGACACAGAGAGATCATAACAGATGAAGGAAATTTTGCTTTACTGGCAAAAGTGTCTGGCTGTTGCTTAGTTTTTGTCTTGATATGCCACTGTGATATATCTATTGAGGCTTATGTGCAAGCAAGGAATGAAAACCTAATAATAATGGCACTGTCTTAGAACAAACTTAAGAATTTCAAAGAGTAGTCTTTCATTCTTTTTTTAAAAACAGCTCTTATTGAGATATAATTCACATGTAACACACCTCACCTATTCAAACATACAGTCCATTGATTTTTAGTACACTTCACAGATACATGCAACCATCACCAGTTTTAGAACATTTCCTTCACCTCAATAAGAAAACCCCACACCCTCTCCCTCTCACTTCTCTACCCCTATAGCAGTCTTTTGAGTGACCTTTAATTGAGGACCTGTCTGTCATGTTCCAGACACTCAAATGCTTTCCTTAAAGTTTGTCCAAGTCAAGGATATTTAGGGCAAGATGGATTTTTTTGAGTTTTCCAAATTCACTTTAGATACTGAGTAGGCAAAGGGCTTTATTCTTTTCTTCCTGGTTGAAACCAATGCTAGATGCTGTCTGGTATTATTGCTAACATCTGACTGAAGTTGAGTTTCTCCACGCCAGTATGTCTTGACAATGGGTGGTCAATAGAAGGCTTGCCTGCGATGATCATCTTCCTGCAGGAGCTAGGGGTGTGTGTGTGCTTGAATACACATGAGTATGTGTTTATGTCATTCTCCTTTTTTTGGTCTTGCTATGTAGTTCAAGCTGACCTTGAACTTACTACGTAGCTCAGGCTAGCCTGGATTCGCTGCAGTCCTCCTGCCTCAGCTTTCTAAGCATATGCCACCCTCTTCTTTCTTTTTTTTTTTTTTAATTAAAAAAAATTTTTTTTATTCTTAAGTTCTTTTATTGGTACATTTTAGGTATACATTAAGTTTACATTTATCACTGGGTCCTTGTTCCTGTACATGATGAATCTTGATTCTTATTTTTTCCCCATTACCTGTGTGGCCTTCACCCCCTCCACCCCTCCCTATTTACATAGACTTCATTTCCATTTTTGTTTCTTTTCTCATAATTTTTCCTTCCCCTTCTTTCCTTTCTCCTTCCCCTCCCTTCACCCCTACCTCTTTGGACTTTTTTTCCTATTTCAAATTATCAGTTATTCATTTTAATCATTTTAACCCTTATTTACACTTTCAGTTTCTCACACTAGAGAAACTATTCGGTATTTACACCTGTGTGTCCTATTTATTTCCCTTAAGAGGATGGCCTCGATGGGCATCCATTTAGTTATAAATGACTCCAGTTTCTCATTCTTTATGGCTGAGTAGTACTCCATTTTATTAAAAAAACACATCTTCTTTATCCAGTTTCCAGTTGATGGGCACTTGGGGTGCTTCCAAGCTTTAGCTATTACAAACTGTGCTGCTATAAACATGGATACACATATATCGCTGTGGTATGATTGATTCTTTTTAATTCTTTGGGGAAGATACCCAGCAGGGGAATAGCTGGGTCAAATGGGACCTCCAGCCCTAGTTCTTTGAGGCATCTCCATACTGACTTCCACAGTGGTTGCACCAGCCTGCACTCCCACCAACAATGGAGAAGGGTTCCTTTCTCCCCACAGCCCCACCAGCATTTATTATTGGTTGATTTCTAGATAGCAGCCGTTCTTTGTGGGGTGAGGTGAAATCTCAGTGTTGTTTTCATCTGCATCTCTTGAATGACCAGTGATGTTGAACATTTTTTCATATGTTTATTTGCTATTTTTACTTCTTTGAGAAATGTCTCTTCATTTCAGATGCCCATTTTTGAATTGGGTCTCTGAATTTGGGGGGTCTGAGTTTTTCAATTCTTTATCTATTCTAGATAGTAGTCCTTTGTCTGAGGTACAGCTGCTAAAAATTTTTTCCCACATTGTAGGTTGTCT